CTGGATGAAAGCGAGGATGGGATAGGAGAAGAGAGGGTTTATCTGGGGGAATCTTTCCCTTCAGAATACCCAGGGAGATAAGGGAGGCGGGAAAATTGCGTGTTCCCTTACTGGACTTCTGTGGCAAGTCAGGAACACACTTACCCCTCCATTGTATCTTCTGCTACAGGATCAGTGCCACTTGCTGGCCAGACATCTCCCTGCCTGCAGTCTTACCTTCCTGCAGGCAGGCTATTAAAACAAAGGAACTCCGTCCTGCCCAGTTGCACTCACCGCCCCGTCCCGGCGGTGCCCACACAGGCTGGGTTGGAGGATTTTATGCCTCGAAAAAGGGAGAGTGGAAGGGAAGGTGTTCCTGGCTGAAAGCAGGGATGGGGTAGTAGATGAGAGGGTTTAGCTGGGGGAATCTGCCCCTTCGGAATACCAGGGAGATAAGTCTGACGGGAAAATTGTGTGTTCCCTTACCGGACTTCTGTGGCAAGTCAGGAGCACACTTACCCCTCCATTGTATCTTCTGCTACAGGATCAATGCCCCTTGCTGGCCAGAAATCTCCCTGCCTGCAGTCTTACCTTCCTGCAGGCAGGCTATTGAAACAAAGGAACTCCCTCTTGCCTGGTTGCACTCACTGCCCCGTTCCAGCGGCGCCCACACAGGCTAGGTTGGAGGATTTTATGCCCCAAAAAAGGGAGGAAGGAAGGGCCATGTTTGTCTTTCTGAATCTGGATTGCCTCACCAAGGAGGAGCTTTTTTCGTTCTATTCATTAGTAAGCAAATTTCATGGTATTATTGTTTTGTACTGCAGAGTAATAATCCAATGTGTAAATATACCACATTTTCTTTATCCATTCTTTGGTTGAGGAAGATCTAGGTTGCTTCCAGTTTCTAGTTATTACAGATAAAGCTACTGCTGTGGAATAATCCTTCTGTACAATGTGAATATGTATTACTCTCATTGGTTATTAAAGAAGATGATTGGCTAATATTAAGGCAGGACCAAGTCAGGCAGGAAAATTATAATGAGGATACAGGAAAGAAGAAGGGTGGAGTCCAGATAGATACCAGCCAGCTGCCAAGGAAGCAGAATATGCAGAAAATGAGATAACAAACTAAGTAATGTGGCAAAGCATGAAGAGAAATATGGGGTAATTTAAATGTAAGAGTTAGCTAGTCAAAACCCTAAGCTCTAGTCAAGCATATATAAATAGCATTAATCCTCTGAGTTGTTATTTGGGAACTTGTGAGTGTTAAAGAAACAGCCAACTTCAAGCTGCTATGAATGAGCAAGTGCCATCATGGAATGATTAAGCATCCTTTGGGTATATGCCCAGGAATAGCATAACTGGGTCTTGAGGTAGATGGATTCCCAATTTTCTGAGAAACCACCATACTGATTTCCAAAATGGCTGTACAAGTTTTCACTCTCACCAACAGAGCAGGAGTGTTCCCTTTCCTCTACATTCTCTCCAGCATGAGCTATCATTAGTTATTTTGACCTTAGCCATTCTAACAGGTATAAGATGGAAACGCAGACATTTTGATTTGCAAATCTCTGATGGATAGGGATGTTGAACACTTCTTTAAGGGTGTCTGGGCCATTTGACAATTCTTTGTTTGGATCTGTAGCCCATTTTTAAATGGATTATTTTGTTTTTTGATGTCTAGTTCTTGAGTTCTTTATGTATTTTGAATATTGGGCTTATGTCAGGTATGGGGTTGGTGAAGATCTTTTACATTCAGTAGGCTTCTGTTTTGTACTATTGACAGTATCTTTTGCCTTACATAAGCTTTTCAGTTTCATGAAATTCCATTTCCTGTTGTTGTGTTCAGAAAGTAGTCTTTTTTGCGTATGCATTCAAGGCTATTTCCTACCTCCTCGTCTATCAGGTTCAGTGTGTCTGTATTTATGTTGGGGTTTTTGATTAACTTGGACTTGAGTTAGGTGAATGGTGATAGATATGATCTATTTACATTCTTCTACATGGCAACATCCGCTTAGATTACTGTAATTGGTTGAAGATGCTTTCTTCTTTTCATTGTATAATTTTGGATTCTTCATCAAAAGTCAATTGCCCATAGATGTGTGGATTTACTTACATATCTTTAATTCAGCTGTATTAATGAATCTGTCTGTTCTTATGCCAATATCACTTGTCTTCTGTTTCATTTAAATTGCTTTCCTCAGGGACTGTTGCAATACAGAGGTTGGACTCTGGAGAGGGCATATTGTCTTATTTTTTATTTTCTGTGATTATGCAGTTAGACCCAAGCATCTGGAGTCACAATGCTTGAAATGTTTCCTGGCATAATTTTCTGGTCTTGCTCTGTAAGTGCTCTGTTCTTTGGTTCCTGTTGCTCACTCCGGATCTTATCCACATGTGATGGTTGTGAAGTAAGTGCCTTGTAGAGAAACATTCTTCTTGTTGGCATACATCAGATAGGAATGGAAATGGGCTATAAGGAAAGGCTTTCAGGGTTAACAGGAGATACTAGGGGAACCTGAGTCCTGTTTTTATTTTTGCTTTTGTTTGTACTTTCTGGAGATTTAAATCAGGGATCTTGCTTGACAGGTATAACCTCTAAAATTGAAATCTAACTGATACCTACCTAGAATATTCACCTCTACTGACAAGACTTTATGGTGCAAGAAGGTACAATGAAGGCTACCTAAGGAGAAAGGTAATCATCAACGTCATTCATCTAGTAAATCAATGACTCACAACAGTGACCAGTCTGTAAGTTATCCTGGTGCCATACTGGCACAAACGTCATAGGAGGGTTTTTATTTCTTATTAGATTTAAGACTTACTTCATGAAGTGGAACCAAACCTAACAGTGTTAAAGTATTCAAGATTCTGAAACTGCCTAAATCATAGGCATACAGGAAGAGCTACAACTATTTTTCTTGAAAAGGACCATACATAGCTATAGGTAGAAGTAGACTCCTGATGAAATACTGCTATACCCATAAACCTCTCTCAGTGCACACTGCACAAGCTTTTTTCTGGAAGCATCTGAAAATTAACATGGAGAAAGAAGATTGGACAATGAGCAGAGAGTGAAAAACTTTGGAGTACTCAGTCCAAAATGTAATGTCTTTATCACAAGCCTCTTCTCAAGGGTCAGAAAGGTATGTGGAAAGAAGGAGAAAAGATAGTAAAAGTCAGAGACAAAGGTGACTCAACAGAAAAAATTGTCTTTTTGATGAAACAGGACCAATACACCTAAGAATTTGCCAAGACTGACAGCGTGAACAAGACCTGTACAGGTTCAAGCCCCAGCATTGAAAAAGGGAATTAGACTTAGCGTCTCACCACTGACCTTGTAGCTATTTGCACTTGATGCCTCCTGGCAAAGGGAAAACCAGTTTTCTACACTGGAATGTCATTGGGTCTATCATCCACATTCCATGGCAGAGCCCAAGCTCCAGAATAGTTGGCCAGGACAAATGAAACTGGGAGGAGTTGGAGTAAGATAAAAGCATGATCAAAACATATTGTGTGGAAAAATTTTTCATCAGCACAAAAGAAAAAACAAACAAACAAAAGAATCCTAAAACCTGTTCTGACAGAGGCAGGCAGATCTCTGTGAGTGGTCTACAAGAACTAATACCAGAACAGGCTCCAAAGCATCAGAGAAACCTTGTCTCAAAAACAAGGAAACAAACAAAGAGTCCTAAAGCCTAATATAGCAATATACAAGGGGAATAAAAAAACAAAAAAAGAGATGAAAGACAAACAAAACAAACAAACACAATGTTAGAATATAATGAGGGCATGGGTACTAGAGGGGATCCCATTACTGCCACTTCCTAGACCAGGACACTTTCCAAACACATTCTAAACACGTATCCTTATGTGCATAGATGAACATAGAACATCTCACCCTTCATCAAAGGGGCTTCTCTTAACAGCAGTGGGAGGCTATTACAGAAATGTATAATTGGGGAAAACAGGGAGAATGGTTGTGGGGGCAAATCCCCAATGAACATATCGACAAAACAACCACTATGCCAAAGATTTAGGGAATATTCTGAAACATAGGGAAGAAAGACTGCAAGACCAGGACATCTGTGAAGGAAAAGTGTCTTCAATATGTGCCTAGCAAGTTGCACCCGTAAAATCTCAACACTATGGTCATCTAAACAAGAGATACACAATGACATCAGTTGACATGCCAACATGGATGGTGGGAATCTCACCAGGCCCTATACCTTAAATAAAATCACATGAGCACACACATGCCAACACGTTCATGTGTGTACATTGCATACAAAACAATGACAAAAATGTTGCAGCAGTGAATATAATAGCTTCCTTGCTAGGATGCATTTTAAATTGTCTCTCTCTATGATTGTCACTCAGCAGAGTCCACTAAAGGGGCAGGTGAAATTGACAATAGCACTGCAAGTGTATGGAACCAGATTAGCAGTATGCATTGCCCCAGTGAAGTGTGTTTGTATGTGTGTGTGTGTGTGTGTGTGTGTGTTCTACATGTATCAAACATAAATGACTTCTAATGGTTCTAGTTTTGATTGTATATTACTTCATGAAGTTTTGGGAATACTTGTTTCATTGACTTAAGAGACACAGAACTCAGGTTCCTCTGATGTCACGTGAACACTCCAAAACTGATTTGTCTCAAGCTCAAGCTTTTTATTTTTTTACACTCCCAATCTTCTAAACTTATAACATATACCATATGCTGCCCTTGTTTGTTTAGGTTCCAACAGTTACTAAAGTAAAAAGGGCAGTGTTTTTATTTGACTAGTAAAATATTTACATATTGGATATATGTAGCAAGAGTTGTTCCACAGTTCATATTCTATATCCTATATTTAATATATAGGTCATAGCAGGACCCCTGAGAGTTTTTCTTCTTATTCCTTTTCTCTTAGTTTTTCTTTTCTGAAGACAGGGTATCTCTCTATAACAGCTCTGGCTTTCCTAAAACTCACTTTGTAGACTAAGTTGGTCTCAAAATCAGAGATTCTCTGGCCTCTGCCTCCTGAGTGCTGAGATTAAAGGTGTGTGTCACCACCACCCAGCTCAGGCCTCCTGAGTTTTACAAGTGGTTTTGATGGATATTTAAATAAAACTAAGGAAAATCTGTAATTGTCATGTCACCCAGAGTTTGTAATTTGGAGTCTTTGTCCTATTGAATGCCTCTCTCCCCCAGAGATTGTACTTTGGGATCTTTGCCTGAATAAAAACTTTTGTCCTCACAAAGCTTTGCATTCCTGCTTTTGGCAGCTTTATTTGTAGTAGCTAGCCAAAATATGGAAACCAAAATGCCCAAGAAGGGAGTGGAAAAGGAACTGACAGCACATGCAAATCGTGGTATGGCACACATTAATGAAAATTAATAGCAACTGAGAGAGGTGTGTGTGTGTTTGTGTGCAGGGAAGTGTTGGAGAATCAAATTTAGGTGCCCACACGTGCTGGGCAAGCAGCTTGATTACAAGCTATATTCGCAAAGAATGGAATCTTAATATATACAATTAAGTATATAGAATTAAGGGTAGGGTGGTGAGTGGAAAAAAAACAGGCTTGACCATTTTTATATGACGTTGATGAAATGAAATGATAATGGAAATAACAGACAATGCAATAGCTGTCCCAGTTGAAGCATACTGCTGGGTGTCATCACAAAAATCAACATGAGTAAAATTTTTCTGAGAGAAGAGATGAAACTTGATTTCAGTGGTCATTACATGAATTTACATACATGATACAGTGACAGAGAGGTCTACACACCCAGTGTAACAGTGCCAGTACCCTGCTTTCAGTGTATTATGTAGTTGTGTAACATATATGGTGAACAACTGGGGGACTAATTACATGAAGAATGCTCTATATGTTCTGATTCATGTTAGATAAAGAAGAATCATATTGAATTATGCTGATATAATGGATTTGAAATGAAAATTTCATACACACACACACACACACACACACACACACACACACACCTCAGTCAGTTCTGGTGATTCTTCTGGGTTCCAGCCAATAAAATGGAATGGACACAGTTTTGAGAACAGAAAGACATACACTCTACATCAACATTCTCCCTTTAGTGGCAATAACATAACGAAGGATGAGTCAAAACTCATTGAGGGGAAGATGGTAGCTCACCCATGGAAACAGCAGCATTGTGAGTATGGAACTATTGCAGCGGGGTGGCCATTGCCAAAGAGTATCTCTACCAAGAGTGCCCCAGGGAGGATGTCAAAACTACTAAGAAAAAGACTGATACATTTGTGGGATAGGCTTGAAACTTGCCGTCTGAAATTATTGTCACCAGGCTGGATGCTGATACTCCTACTGACCATGCAACCAAATACATATCACCCTAGGGATTGGTGATGTTGACACTCATGATAGTGTAGGTTCTGGTCTTCTTCACATGAGGATAACAATACCAGAGTTATTCTGTCCATTTGTGGAGAACCTTTAGAAACCCCTTTTTGTTTTTCAGCTGCCAATTCAATTTGTTTTCACTTGTCTGCATTCTTTCTGGCAGAATAGGGGGCTGGGTGGAACGAGGGTTGAGTGTCAGGTTATGGAAGTCTTGTATCAGCTTTTTTGTGGAGGGTGAATGACAGGTTGCTTCTGTCCTGGTCGCCACAGAGACTCCGGACGTGGTCCCCATACAAGCTTGGCAGTAGCGGCATTCACATTTGAACTTTTCCTCTTCTGCATCTCTAGGGAAAGATGGTTTTCTTTTCTTGTCAGCTTGCTGAGATAAGGGAGACCCAACACGTTTCTTTTTCTTGATTTTAACTAGATTAGTTTTCTTCAGGGGTGATCTTGAATTCTCTGACTGCTGCTCTGTGTTCATCCCTTCAGAGAAAAAAAGGACATATTAGAAACACAGAGGGTCTGTTGAAAACAGCTTGTTCTGTACACAGTCCTGGAGCACCTACCAGCACTCACAGATCACATCTTAGAAGAGGCCCTGAGGTTTGTTTCACCAATGGAAATCTTAGTTTCTAATTTTAGTGCGACCATTTTTCTTTTGTTTTGTTTATGGGTATCAACATGCCAACAAGCAAGATGTGTGCTCTTTGACTTTGCAACATATGTTTTAGTTCAGTTTTCTTTGTACTTGATTTTGTGTGCCATGAAAAACACCAGGGCAGAATTCCTTCATGTGGAGCCCACAGATCACGACTTCTGAATGTATGATGCTGATGCCTCTTGAAGCTATGCTTCACAAGTAGCCTCTTCTTTAATGTTTCCTTTAAGCTCTCAGTCCCACCACATAAATGTGATTCGAGGCAGTCCTGTCTCAGAGGACATCTTTGAGGTTCCAGGGTCTACAAACACAGTTGCTCACCACACTAGCACCTAAGGCCTTAAGAACAATGATACAGTTGCAGTTCCACTTGCCTGGGCAGAAGAACAGAACCAATCAAAGAGACCTCCCCTCATCCTACTCCAAAGGACCCCTCTCTCCATCAGCCGTGGCACATCAACCAGAAAGAATCAATGTGCGAGATTCCTGGGCACAATATGTGCTCTACATTGCCAGGCCAGCACAGCAATGGTCAATCTTCTGAGCGAGGACGTCAGGATTAACACACAACACAACTTCAGGTTCTACAGACAAGCCTTTATTCTACTTTCTCACACAGTATATATAGGCCTCAGCAGGGGAAGACAAGCAAGCAAAAGCAGGAAGCTCATCACCATAACTCAATGGCTTAGGGGTAAACATCCTTAGAAACATTGCTGAGAACAACAGATTTTTCCTGTTTTTGTTCCTGTTTTCAACCAACCACAAGAGTGCAAAGCAGATGAAGTGGGAGTGTAAAGGCCTATCCTCTAGGGACCTAACATACATAACCTGCATTTCAGGCCATACTAGGTTATCTTGCATCCCTTGCTGAGACAAGAGAACACCAGAGATAAGCAAAATGAACCCAAGGAGAAAACCACTGGACACAGATTGAGGTTGGTTGGCAAGTCCCAAGTCTTCCAGTCTTTTAGTAGGACAAGTCACATCTTGGAGAGCACAGAATGCCATGGTAAGCCCACCGACAGAGACACAGGCCATCTTCCATTTCTGGAAAACCTATACATGCACCTAATAGCAGTAATTTCTGGGGACAGAACAGGCAGAAGGGAAGTTGGTATAGTGGAATGAATTCAATGATTGCAGGGGCTAAAGGGGACTATATAATTATAATTCTTACTTATGGGTGCATTTATGGGTACATATTTGGGATCCAGGCATGAAAGTGTTCATGCCCGGGAGAAGAGTTAAGAGCATTTTAACAGAGGAAGATTTGGCACCTGGCATGATCTCTGACCTCTCTGAACTCATTTGCCACCTGTATTAAAGGTAATACAGCCTACCATTCCCTGGTATAGTGCCTATGAGTGATCATACAGGGCTTGAGCACTAAAGGAGTTTATTAGGAATGACAGCAGCTTCCCTTTGAAACCAAGGAAATAACTAGACTAGTATATGAAAATTTGTGGTCAAAGATGATTATGCTATCACATCAAAATGTACACGCATGCACACACACACACACACACACACACACACTCATAGAGGAAAAAGGAATGGAAAGGCCACATACAGGGCTTGGTTGAAGGAGTTAGGAAGGCTTCGCACTAGGATATGTAAATCAGTCTGACAATCATGGAGATAGTTATGAGGTGTCTCAAAACATTTACTATATGGCTTCCACATAGTCTAGCCCTAACTTAACTCATGGCATCAAAGCAAAGGAACCAAAAGCACCTTACTACAGAGATACCTGACTTTCCATACTACTAACAGAACCTAAATCATGGATTCAGCCTAGGTTCAAGTTCATGGACAAATTGATAAGGGAAATGTGGTGCCAGTACAAAAGGTGGTTTCACGTGGCTGCAAAGAAGGACAGACTGCAGTGCTTGGGGGAAGACGATGGATCTTATGGAAAACAAGCCAGGTCTGTAAAGACAAATATCCCTTGTTAAAACCACAAAGATCAAAAATAAGCTAAAAGCCAACACAAAGGGACGTAAAGTTACATGAAGCAATACTGGGACTGTAGGAGGGGATTGGGAAAGCAAAGGGAGAAGAAATAACAAAGAGTAGCAGTGGGGGTGAATACAGCCAAGTTATCTTATGTGTATATATGTAATTACCAAAATGAAAGCCTCCCTTTTAATGAATAATATATACTAATAAAAACTGGGGAAAACAAAGTCTCTTTTGAAGGGTGGCTGGGAACTGTGTCCTTTTCGGGTTATCAAATGTAGCAAGTGATGTTTGACTCCTGAATACCAAGGATCAGAACAAGCTTTATTGCCTTGGACTCTCAGTACCTAGCACATGCTGCTTTGTGGGTCCTTGGGAGACATTTTCCACACACCTGCCACTCCCAAAATCGAGCAAAGCGTTTGATCTCCACTCAGAGAGTGACCAGCTCTTCCAGATCCCACCTAAAGTCTTTCCTATATCCAAAAACATTTGCCACCTGGTTGTAATGCTTCTGTAGTTAGCTGCCCTCCTACCATGTTAATGTCTCCCACTGCCTGACACAGTGTGTCAAAGCCCTTCTCCAGACTCTGAAACTCTCCTACCTCTCCTGTACTCACTCTTCTTGATCTTGCTAATCCTCCAGACACCTTTACACCTGACCCCTCTCTTCTTTCAACTAGGACATTTGCAGTGAAGCTAGTCATAAGCACTTCACTTAACAGTGCAAGTTGGGCCTGAGCTGGTCATGGTGGTGTAAAGCCTTTAATCTCAGCACTCTGAAGGCAGAGGCTGGTGAACTCTGAGTTCCAGCCTAGCCTGGTACACAGAGTGAGATCCAGGACAGTCAGGACTACATAGACAGAATACCCTTTTATTCTAAAACAAAAGTACTACAGAAAAAGTTTCTGCCCTGGCATGACAGTCAAATAGTGCATCACTGACACACATAACTTGGCTGTAACCAACAGTTCCCAGATTGGACTTAGAGCCTGCTCACAAAGGAAAATTCCTGTACAGTACTGGAATGTATAGCCTGGTGGAGTCATGAATCTTGGAGGAGACTCTACAACAGATATTTTACTAAACAAGCATAATTCCTGACTACATTCTAAGTGCTTTTCCTCATACCCATAGAGAAGTGTAGCCCTCAACCCTCACTAAGGAAATGTCACTTTGTGAGAGACAAAGATCAATGCAAAAAACTACCAATCAAAATGCAGAGTTCTGGCATCGTTCCCTGCTAGCTCCAAGGAGATCAATACTTGGTGGACATAAGACATGAGACAACAGTGGCCCTGGGGACCCAGACCCTCCACTCTCTAAAACCTCCACATGGGAGAAAGGCCAGGGGTCCCCCTCCCCAGGTGCCTTCTGGAGTCTTTGATAGAGTTGAAGAACAGATAGATAGTTATAGTTTTCCTTTGTCATGATAAAATATAAAATAGATATAATTATTATAATTGTAATCCTTGCTTGAAAACTGTTTTGTTATATATAATTTTACTATGTTAAAGTTAAAGCCTTCCCTTTCCTTTAAACTGAAAAGGGAAAATTGTGTAGGAGGTCCTTCTGTATTTGTGTTGCTTTCATTGGTTAATAAAAAACTGCTTTGGGCCTGTTGATAGGGCAGAACTAGGGTAGGCAGGACAACCAGACAGGAAGTAGAGGCAGGGCAATGAGAACATGAGAATTTTGGGAAGGAAGAAACATATGCTTCCCCAGTCCTGCCCATACTACAGAAGAAGCAATATGTGACCTACCCCACCAAAAAATGTTCCGAGTCATGTGTCTAACATAGATAAGAATAATGGGTTATTATACATTATACGAGTTAATACAAAGCCTGATGTAATGGGCCAATGAGTATATAACTAATGTAGGCTCTCTGTGTGATTTTCTCTGGGACTTACCTGCTGTGGGAACTTGGTAGGACAGAAACGTCAACAAGCAGGCCCTCAGGTTACGAATGGAAAATCTCCAACTACAAGAACAAAGAAAGAATGTTAATGACTGCAAAAGAAAAAGGTCAAGTAACATATAAAGAAAAACCAATCAGAATTACAGCTGACTTCTCAATGGAAACCATGAAAGCCAGAGGTTCTGGATAGATGTGCTGCAGAAACTAAGAGACTATGGATGCAAGCCAAGACTACTGTACCCAGAAAGCATTCATTCACAATTGAGGGAGAAAAGAAGATATTCCATGATAAAAAACAGATTTAAGTAATATTTACCAACAATTCCAGCCTTACAGAAAGTACTTTAAGGAAAGCCACAACCCAAGGAAGCTATCTACACCCACAATAACAGAGGCATCTGATAACCCCCACTAGCATAACTCAAAGAAGGGAAACACACAAACACTACCATTAAAAAAAATAACTGGAGTCAACAACCACTGGTCATTAGTATCACTTAATATCAATGCACTCAATTCACCTATAAAAAGGCACAAATTAAGAGAAAGTATACAAAAACAGGATCCAAAATTCTGCTGTTTACAAGAAACACACCTCAACCTCAAAGACAGACACTACCTCAGAGTAAAGGATTGGGAAAATATTTTCCAATCAAATGGGCCTAAAAAAAACAAGCAGTTATGGCTATTCTGATGTGTAACAAAATTGATTTCAAACTAAAATCAATCAGAAGAGATGGAGAAGGACACTTTATATTTATAACAGGAACAATTTATCAAGATGAAGTCTCAATCCTGAATATCTATGCCAGTAATTCAAGAGCACCCACATATGTAAAAGAAACAATACTAAAATTTAATCACATATCAACCACACACACTAATAGTAGGAGATTTCAACACTCCTCTCTCAACAATGGACAGGTCAACCAGACAGAAACTTAACTGAGAAATAAGAGAACTAACAGATGTAATGAATCAAATGGACTCAACAGACTTAATAGAGCATTCCACCCAAAGAGGAAAAAATATACCTTCTTCTCAGCATCACATTGAACCTTCTCGAAAATTGATCACATACTCAGTAACAAAGCAAACACCCACAGAAAAAAAAGTAATTCACTGTATTTTATCAGATAACCATGGAGAAAAGTTAGAATTCAACAACAATACTACTCCCAGAAAGCCTACAAACACATGGAAACTGAACAGTCAACTACTGAACCAATCCTGGTTCAAGGAAGAAGTAAGAAAGAAATTAAAGTCTTCCTTGAATTCAATGAAAATGAAGGCAAAACATATCCAAACCTATGGGACACTATAAAAGTAGTGCTAAGACGAAAGTTCATAGCACTAAGTGCCCACATAAGGAAAATGGAAAAAACTCACACCAATGACCTCACAGCATGCCTGAACAGCATGCCTGAAAGCTCTAGGGAAAAAAGCAAGCAGACTCACCCAAAAGGAGAAGAAGACTGGAAATAATCAAGTTAAGGGCTGAAATTAACAAAATAGAAACATAGAAAACCACACAAAGACTCAATGAAACAATGAGCTGGTTCTTTGAGAAAACCAACAAGATTGACAAACCCTTATCCAAACTAATCAAAGGTAGAGAGAGAACACGAAAATTAACAAAATCAGAAATTTAAAGGGGTACATAACAACAGACACTGAGGAAATTCAGAGAATCATTAGGTCCTACTACGAAGATCTGTACTCCACAAACTGGAAAATGTAAAAGAAATGGGCAATTTTTTAGATAGATACCACCTTACAAAATTGAATTAGGACCATGGGAACAATTTAAATAGACCTGTAAGCCTTGGGGAAATAGAAACTGGCATCAAAAACCTCCGAACTAAAAAAAGCCCAGGGCTGGATGGTTGTAGTGCAGAATTCTATCAGAACTTTCAAGAAGAGGTAAGAACTATACTCCTCAAAGTGTTCCACATAATAGAAACAGAAGGCTCACTGACAAACACTTTTTATGAAGCTACAGTTGCCCTGATACCAAAACCACACAAAGACTCAACTAAGAAAGAGAATTACAGACCAATCTCACTCATGAACATCAATGCAAAATTCTCAATAAAATTCTGGCAAAGTGAATCCAAGAACACGTCAAAAAAAATCATCCAATATGACCAAGTAGGCTTCATCCCAGAGATGTAGGGCTGGTTCAACACACAAAAATCAACCATGTAATCCACCACATAAATAAACTGGAAGAAAAAAACCACATGATCATTTCATTGGATGCTGAAAAAAACATTTGACAAAATTCAACATCCCTTCCTGATTAAGGTCTTGGAGAGATTAGGGATACAAGTAACATATCTAAATATAATAAAAGCAATGTACAGCAAGCCGACAGCTAACATCAAATTAAATGGAGAGAAACTCAAAGCCATTCCACTAAATTCAGGAACACGACAAGGCTGTCCACTCTCTCCATACCTCTTCAATATAGTGCTTGAAGTTCTAGCAATAGCAATATGAAAACATAAGGAAATCAAGGGGATTTGAATTGGAAAGGAAGAAACCAAACTTTCATTATTTGCAGATTATATGATAGTGTACACAAGCGACCCCAAAAACTCTACCAAAGAACTTCTACTGCTGATAAACATCTTTAGTAATGTGGCAGGATACAAGATCAACTCCAAAAATTCAGTTGCCCTCCTATACACAAAGGATAAAGAAGCAGAGAGGGAAATCAGAGAAACATCACATTTCACAATAACCAAAAATCCATAAAATATCTTGGGGTAACACTTACAAAGGACACAAAAGACCTATTTGACAAGAATTTTATGCCGCTGAAGAAATTGAGGAAGACACCAAAAAATGGAAAGCTCTCCCATGCTCTTGGATAAGAAGAATCAACATAGGAAAAATGGCAATCTTCCCAAAAGCAATCTATAGATTCAATAAAATCCCCACCAAAATCCCAACAAAATTCTTCACAGACCTTTAAAGAATGATACTCAACTTCATATGGAAAAACAAGAAACCAGGATAGTCAAAACAATTCTATACAATAAAGGAACTGCTGGAGGCATTACCATCCCTGACTTCAAAATCTATTACAGAGCTACAGTAATGAAAACAGATTGGTATTGATATAAAAACAGAGACGTTGAGCAATGAAATAGAATGGAAGACCCAGATATTAATTCACACACCAATGAACAATTGATTTTTTACAATGAAGCAAAAAAGATACAATGGAAAAAAGAAGGCATCTTCAACGAATGGTGCTGGCATAACTGGATGTCAACATGTAGAAGAATGAAAATAAATCCATATCTGTCTCCATGCACAAAACTCAAGTCCGAATGGATTAAAGACCTCAATATAAATCCGACTACACAGAACCTGATAGAGGAGAAAGTGGGAAGTAGCCTTCAATGCATGGGCACAAGAGACCACATCCTAAATATAACCCCAAAGTACTGATAATAAGAGCATCAATAAATAAATGGGACCTCCTGAAACTTAGAAGCTTCTGTAAAGCAAAGGACACAGTCAGTAAGACAAAAAGGCAGCCTACTGAATGGAAAAAAAAAATCTTCACCAACTTCACATTAGACAAAGGAATGATCTTCAAAATATATAAAGAACTCAAGAAATTGGACATTAAAATTCTAAATATCCCAAATAAAAAGTGGTGTACTGAACTAAACAGAGAATTCTCAGCAGAAGAATTTCAAATGGACAAAAGATACTTAAGCACATGTTCTTCTTCCTTAGCTAGCAGGGAAATGCAAATCAAAACAACTTTGAGATACCATCTTACACCTGTCAGAATGGCTAAGATCACAAACACCAATGATAGCTTATGCTGGAGATGTTGTGGAGCAAGGGGACCACTCATCCATTGTTGGTGGGAATGCAAACTTGTGCAACCACTGTGGAAAGCAGTGTGAGAGTTTCTCAGAAAACTGGGAATCAACCTATCTCAGTATCCAGCAATTCCATACTTGGGAATATATCCAATAGATGCTCAATCATACTACAAGGTGGTGAACGATGGAGAGTGGCCTTGAGGGAAGAAAAACAGCTGATCTCCCAGTGATAAAGGCTTAGAGGAGGTGTAGAGAAGCTGGGCCATCCTTGCAGTGGTTTCTCAGGCACTGGAATCTGGACGTGTCTATTAGCAGGATTATTTCTGAGGCAGATTGGCTCTTTACCTGCAGGGAGAATGTAGGTAAATGGGGAAGAGGAGACAGGACTAGGTAGGATTGACTATCAGCTTCTTACCCTGAGGAGACAGCTAGATTTCTTTTTTCTTTTCATGTGAAATCAAGTTCCACTCCCTGCTTGAGGACCCTCAAGCTATCAGCCTCCCCCACTGGTCCCCACCCCCAGTGGACAGTGTGGAAACACTGGAGGGGTCCTGCCAGAGCTCTGTGCCCTTGCTGGGACTCATTGTGACCAAAGCAAAGTTTCCAAGGTGCTGTGAGTGACCTAACAGTGGAGGGACGGAAAAACTGGTCCCAAATTCAATCTTCAGGGTGTTCCTGACAGCGGGGGATGTCCATAGTTAGGCCCATTGTAAGGGAGTGAGAACCCTGCCCGACCCTCGTTTGACAGGCTGGGATTGCTTTTCTCTTAGAGTCCATTCAAGACAACTAGTTTCCATTTGTTTGTCTATGTCTGCTTCATAGAGAACACGCTGAAACTGCTCATTGTGTCTTACCTGACACCTTAAGCAGATGTAAGCAGTAGCCTGCTGCTCAAGGAAAGGTCAATGTGAACATCTATGTATTCATTAAGACGTGTTGAGTTCTTCATTTCCAATTTGAATCCCCTTGATATCCTTTTGTTGTCTTATTGCTACTGCTAAAACTTCAAGCACTATGTTGAAGAGATATGGAGAAAGTGGAGAGCCTTGTCTTGTTCCCGATTTTAGTGGAATGGCTTTGAGTTTCTCTCTGTTTAATTTGATGTTAGCTGTCGGCTTGCTGTATATTGCTTTTATTATATTTATATATGATTTTTGTATTCCTCATATCTCCAAGACCTTTATCATGAAAGGGGTGTTGGATTTTGTCAAATGCTTTTTCAGCATCTAATGAAGTGATCAGATGGTTTTATTTTCTTTCAGTTTATTTAAAGGATGGATTACATTGAGAGATTTTTGGATGTTGAAGCATCTCTGGGATGAAGCCTATTTGATCATGAAGGATGATTTTTTTGATGTGTTTTTATATTTGGGTTGCCAGGATTTTATTGAGAATTTTTGCATTAATGTTCATGAGTGAGACTGTTCTGTAATTCTCTGTCTTGGTTGAGTCTTTTGTTGTTTTAGTATCAGAGTAACTGCAGCCTCACAAAAAAGAGTTTGGCAATGTCCCTTCTGTTTCTATTATGTGGAACACTTTAAGGAGTAGAGGTATTAATTCTCCTTGGAAATTCTGGTAGAATTCTGCACTGGACTTTTTTTGATTGGGAGGTTTTTGATGAGAGCTTCTATTTCCTCACAGATTATAGGTCTATTAAAATTTTCACCTGGTCTTGATTTAATTTTGGTATGCAGTTCTTATCCAGAAAATTGTGCGTTTCTTTTACATTTTCCAATTTTGTGGAGTACAGGTTTTTGTAGTATGACCTAATGATTCTCTGAATTTCCTCAGTGTCCATTTAATTTCTGCTTTTGCCAATTTCAATGTTCTCTCTCAGCCTTTACAGAACCTGGAAACAACTTAAATGTCCCTCAATTAAAGAATGGATAAGGAAAATGTAGTACATTTACACAATGGAGTATTATACAGCAGAAAAAATAACATTTTGAACTTTGCAGGAAGGTGGATGGGGCTAGAAAACACAATTTTGAGTGGGGTAACCTAGACACAGAAAGACAATTATCACATGTACTCACTCATAACTGGTTTTTAAATATAAAGCAAATAAAACCAGCCTACAAACCACAATCCAAGACAACAATGAGGACACTAAGAGAGACATACATAGATCTAATCTACATGGGAAGTAGCAAAAGACAAGATCTCCTGAGTAAATTGGGAGCATTGGGACCTTGAGGGGTGCAGAGAAAAATGTAGAGCTCAATAAAAATCAATTAAAAACAAAACAAAACAAAAAGACAAAGGGGGTTAATCCATTTTTTTGTATCTGTGGAGGTTTGCTTTGTTATCAAGTATGTGAACAATTTTAGAGAAGGTTTCATGAGGTGCTGAGAAGGAAGTATATTCCTTTGGGTTTGAATGGGATATTCTATAAATGTTTGTTAAGTCCATTTGATTCTTTACATCTGCTAGTTCTCTTATTTCTCCCTTAAGTTTCTGTCTGGTTGACCTGGCCATTGGTGAAAGTGGAGTGTTGAAGTCTCCTACTACTAGTGTGTGGGATTTGAGGTGCGATTTACGTTTTAGTAATGTTTCTTTTACATATGTGTGTGCTCTTGTATTAGATGTTCAGGATTAAGTCAAACTTCCGTTATTTGCAGATGATTTGATAGTGTATATAAGTGACCCCAAAAACTCTATTAGAGAACTCCTACTGCTGATAAATACCTTCTGTGATATGCCAGGATACAAGACAAACTCAAAACAAAACAAGTAGCCCTCCAATACACAAATGGTAAAGAAGCTGAGAGGGAAATCAGAAAAACGTCTCCTTTCACAACAGCCACAAGTAATGTAAAATATCTTGGGGTAACACTAACCAAGAAAGTTAAAGACTTATTTTACAAGAACTTTATATCTTTGAAGAAAGAAACTGAAGAAGTTACCAGAAAATGAAGAACTGGACTGAGCTCCCAAGGTCCAGTTGAAGAGTAGAAGGAATGAGAATATTAGCAAAGAGGTCAAGACCATGAAGAGTTCATCCACTGAAACAGTTTACCTGAGCTAATGGGAGCTCACCAACTTCAACTGGACAGGGAAAGAACAAGCATAGGACCAAACTAGTCCCTCTGAATGTGGTTGACAGTGGTATGGCTGGGAAGGACATAGGAGACACTAGACGTCCCACTGGGATTTATCTCTACTGCATGTGCGATTTTTGGGGGGATCCTATTCTCTTTGGACATATAACCTGCTCAGCCTAGATGTAGTAGGGAGGTTCTTGGACCCTCCGCAAAACAAAGTGCCTTACCCTCTTTTAGGTGGGAGTGTGTGTGGAAGGGATGGGAGGAGGAGAGGGAGTGGTAATTTGTATTGCTTTTTTCCCTTTTTATTGATTTTTATTGAGCTCTACATTTTTCTCTGCTTCCATTCCTGCCACTCCCGTCCCACCTTCAGCCCTTCCCCAAGGTCCCCATTCTCTCAATTTTCTCAGGAGAACTTTTTTCTACTTCTCATGTAGATTAGTTCTATGTAAGTCTCTTTCAGTGTCCTCATTGTTGTCTAAGTTCTCTGGGATTGTGGTTTGTAGGCTGTTTTGTTTTTTTTTTTTTTTGCTCTATGTTTAAAAACCTCCTGTGAGTAAATACATGTTATAATTGTCTTTCTGTGTCTGTGTTACCTCACTCAAAATAATGTTTTCTATCTCCATCGATTTTGCTGCAAAATCCAAGGTGCTGTTATTTTTTCTGCTGTATAGTACTCTGTTGTGTAAATGTACCACATTTTCCTTATCCATTCTTCAGTTGAGGAGTGTTTACGTTGTTTCCAGGTTCTGGCTATGACAATCAATGCTGCGATGAACATACTTGAGCACAGGTCCTTGTGGCACAATTGAACCTCCTTTAAATATATACCCAAAAGTGGTATCACTGGGTCTTGAGGAAGGTTTTTTCCTAATTTTCTAAGAAATCACAATCCAAAGGGGTTGTACCAGCTTGCATTCCTACCAACAATACAGAAGTGTTCTCTTTTCCCCACAACCACTCCAGCATAAGTTGTTATCAGTGTTTTTGATCTTGGTCATTCTTACAGGTGTAAGATGGAATCTCAGAGTTGTTTTGATTTGCATTTCTCTGATGACTAAGGATGTTGAACATTTCCTTAAGTGTCATTCAGTCATTTTAGATTCCTCTGTTGAGAGTTCTCTGTTTAGGTCTGTACTCCATTTTCTTGTTGTATTGTGTGTTCTTTTGATGACCAATTTCTGGAATTCTTTGTATATTTGCCAGATCAGACCTCTGTCTGATGTGGGGTTAGTGAAGATATTTTCCTATTCTGTAAGCTGTCATTTTGTCTTGTTGACCACGTCCTTTCCTTTACAGAAGCATTTCAGTTTCTGGAGTTCCCATTTATTAATTGTTTCCCTCTGTGGATGTGTGTTTCCCTTTGGGGTTATATTTAGGAAATGGTCTCCTGTGCCAATGCGTTCAGGTGTATACTTCCCACTTTCTCTTCTATGAGGTTCAGTGTGGCTGCCTGTATGTTGAGGTCTTTTTAAAAATATATATAGTAATAATAAAGGTGTGTTTAATTTGTGTGTCAATGTGAACATCTACGTATTCACTAAGATGTATAAAATGTGTATATTTATCCGGGCTAGGAGGTCAGGTCTCCTGTAGCTCAATCTGGACACAAATTTGATTTAACAAGGATAATCTTGAAATTTGGATCTCCGAACTCCACATCCCAAATGCCAGGATTGAAGGCCTGAGCCACCAAACCTGCTTTATATGAGGCTTGGTATCAAACCAAAGGCTTCCTGCATCATAGCCATCTCTATGAAAAATGGGCAGTCCCAGCCCCGCTAAAGGGGTGGTAAGAACAGCAGTGCACACACGAATGCCATTGTACTTAGTCCATACTCACAAGCTCCATTGTCCTCACTTGTCCCTCTACGCCCTTCTGCTTAGCCCCTTCCTCGCCAAAACAGGATCTCTGGAGAGTCAATCACCATCTACAAGTGCAACATTATCCTTCATTAACGATGGCCACAGAATTAGGGTGTTATGGTCATTTTTTTGTCCTTATCTCTCTTTCTCTCTTTGATATTCTGAAATGGAGGAGAATAGAGGGCTTTGGCAATCTGTTCCCAAGTAAGGATTAACAGTTCCTGGAATCTCCATACAGATCAAAGCATGTTAGGTCTTACGTGCTGTGCTGTGTCACCATCTACTGATGACTCCCAGCTCAACATCTGTACCTCCAACTTGGTGATGATCCTCAGTTTCTAGTCTCCTCCCAGACCACCCTTCATGGATATTCGGATCCTGTGTACCAAAATGAACTCACACTCGTTGAACATTTGCAAATGTATGCCTCCTCTAGTCTCAGGAGTCTTTGAAAGACTCCACCATCTACTGGACTGGACCACTGCCTCAGAATCCTCCTCTGCACCCACCACCTCTAAGGCATTCAGACTGTCTAGATGACATGGCAATTCCTCTTTCATCCTCTCTGCCCATTCTCCCCACTTTCGCTTCAATCATATTACTGCAGGGAGAGATGCAG